CTGCTCTAAACGCACAATTCTCATCCTTTTTATACTCTCCTCGCGCTCAAGAAAACCTGAATTTTCAGGCAAAAGCAAAAAGTTTATAAAAGTCAAATTTACCCCATAGACCTCCCCACCACTAACGTCTTCTGCCCCAGCGAGAAAGCGAGCTTTTTCCTCCTCAGCCAGGCGGCGTGCTTCTGCTTCCTCAGCCAGACGGTGTGCTTCCTCAGCCAGGCGGCGTGCTTCTGCTTCCTCAGCCAGACGGCGTGCTTCCTCAGCCAGGCGGCGTGCTTCTGCTTCCCCAGCCAGACGGCGTGCTTCCTCAGCCAGGCGGCGTGCTTCTGCTTCCTCAGCCAGGCGGCGTGCTTCTGCTTCCTCAGCCAGGCGACGTGATTCTGCTTCCTCAGCCAGACGGTGTGCTTCCTCAGCCAGGCGGCGTGCTTCTGCTTCCTCAGCCAGACGGCGTGCTTCCTCAGCCAGGCGACGTGCCTCTGCTTCCTCAGCTAGGCGGCGTGCTTCTGCTTCCTCAGCCAGACGGCGTGCTTCCTCAGCCAGGCGGTGTGATTCTGCTTCCTCAGTCAGGCGACGTGCCTCTGCTTCCTCAGCTAGGCGGCGTGCTTCTGCTTCCTCAGCCAGACGGCGTGCTTCCTCAGCCAGGCGACGTGCCTCTGCTTCCTCAGTCAGGCGGCGTGCCTCTGCTTCCTCAGCCAGGCGACGTGATTCTGCTTCCTCAGTCAGGCGGTGTGATTCTGCTTCCTCAGCCAGGCGGCGTGCTTCCTCAGCCAGGCGGCGTGCTTCCTCAGCCAGGCGGCGTGCTTCCTCAGCCAGGCGGCGTGCTTCTGCTTCCTCAGCCAGGCGACGTGATTCTGCTTCCTCAGCCAGGCGACGTGCTTCTGCTTCCTCAGCCAGGCGGCGTGCTTCCTCAGCCAGGCGACGTGATTCTGCTTCCTCAGCCAGGCGACGTGCTTCTGCTTCCTCAGCCAGGCGGCGTGCTTCTGCTTCCTCAGCCAGGCGGCGTGCTTCTGCTTCCTCAGCCAGGCGGCGTGCTTCCTCAGCCAGGCGACGTGCCTCTGCTTCCTCAGCCAGGCGGCGTGCTTCTGCTTCCTCAGCCAGGCGACGTGATTCTGCTTCCTCAGCCAGACGGTGTGCTTCCTCAGCCAGGCGGCGTGCTTCTGCTTCCTCAGCCAGACGGCGTGCTTCCTCAGCCAGACGGCGTGATTCTGCTTCCTCAGCTAGGCGACGTGATTCTGCTTCTTCAGTCAGGCGGTGTGATTCTGCTTCCTCAGCCAGACGGCGTGCTTCTGCTTCCTCAGCCAGGCGACGTGCCTCTGCTTCCTCAGCCAGGCGACGTGCCTCTGCTTCCTCTACCAGACGGCGTGATTCTGCTTCCTCAGCTAGGCGACGTGATTCTGCTTCTTCAGCCAGGCGGTGTGATTCTGCTTCCTCAGCCAGGCGGTGTGATTCTGCTTCCTCAGCCAGGCAACGTGATTCTGCTTCCTCAGCCAGGCGGCGTGCTTCCTCAGCCAGGCGACGTGCCTCTGCTTCCTCAGCCAGGCGACGTGATTCTGCTTCCTCAGCCAGGCGGCGTGCTTCTGCTTCCTCAGCCAGGCGGCGTGCTTCTGCTTCCTCAGCCAGGCGGCGTGCTTCTGCTTCCTCAGCCAGGCGGCGTGCTTCCTCAGCCAGGCGACGTGCCTCTGCTTCCTCAGCCAGGCGGCGTGCTTCTGCTTCCTCAGCCAGGCGACGTGATTCTGCTTCCTCAGCCAGACGGTGTGCTTCCTCAGCCAGGCGGCGTGCTTCTGCTTCCTCAGCCAGACGGCGTGCTTCCTCAGCCAGGCGACGTGCCTCTGCTTCCTCAGCTAGGCGACGTGATTCTGCTTCCTCAGCCAGGCGACGTGCCTCTGCTTCCTCAGCCAGACGGCGTGCTTCTGCTTCCTCAGCCAGACGGTGTGCTTCCTCAGCCAGGCGGCGTGCTTCTGCTTCCTCAGCCAGGCGACGTGATTCTGCTTCCTCAGCCAGGCGACGTGATTCTGCTTCCTCAGCCAGGCGACGTGATTCTGCTTCCTCAGCCAGGCGACGTGATTCTGCTTCCTCAGCTAGGCGACGTGATTCTGCTTCCTCAGCCAGGCGACGTGCTTCTGCTTCCTCAGCCAGGCGGCGTGCTTCTGCTTCCTCAGCCAGGCGACGTGATTCTGCTTCCTCAGCCAGGCGACGTGCTTCTGCTTCCTCAGCCAGGCGACGTGCCTCTGCTTCCTCAGCCAGGCGACGTGCTTCTGCTTCCTCAGCCAGGCGGCGTGCTTCTGCTTCCTCAGCCAGGCGACGTGCTTCTGCTTCCTCAGCCAGGCGACGTGCCTCTGCTTCCTCAGCCAGACGGCGTGCTTCTGCTTCCTCAGCCAGACGGTGTGCTTCCTCAGCCAGGCGGCGTGCTTCTGCTTCCTCAGCCAGGCGACGTGATTCTGCTTCCTCAGCCAGGCGACGTGCTTCTGCTTCCTCAGCCAGGCGACGTGCCTCTGCTTCCTCAGCCAGGCGACGTGCCTCTGCTTCCTCAGCCAGACGGCGTGATTCTGCTTCCTCAGCTAGGCGACGTGATTCTGCTTCTTCAGTCAGGCGGTGTGATTCTGCTTCCTCAGCCAGGCGGCGTGCTTCTGCTTCCTCAGCCAGACGGTGTGCTTCCTCAGCCAGGCGGCGTGCTTCTGCTTCCTCAGCCAGACGGCGTGCTTCCTCAGCCAGGCGACGTGCCTCTGCTTCCTCAGCCAGACGGCGTGATTCTGCTTCCTCAGCTAGGCGACGTGATTCTGCTTCTTCAGTCAGGCGGTGTGATTCTGCTTCCTCAGCCAGGCGGCGTGCTTCTGCTTCCTCAGCCAGGCGACGTGCCTCTGCTTCCTCTACCAGACGGCGTGATTCTGCTTCCTCAGCTAGGCGACGTGATTCTGCTTCTTCAGCCAGGCGGTGTGATTCTGCTTCCTCAGCCAGGCGACGTGATTCTGCTTCCTCAGCCAGGCAACGTGATTCTGCTTCCTCAGCCAGGCGGCGTGCCTCTGCTTCTTCTTGAAAAAAAATATGTGCTTCGTCTTTTGTGTTTGTGCTGTTCGTGTGGTTGTTCGTTGTTTTTCTGAGTTTGTTACCCTCCTTTGGGATTCTTTTATCCGTTAACTGTCGAAGCATATCCTCTTTGTTAAACTCATCATGTTGATTTATCCTACTGATGCTTTCCTCAGTGATACCTGTTTTCTTTATTTGGTGTCGCTTGTATGTTGTTTCTTTTGTTTGATCACCGCAAGGTATTTTTTCAAGAAAATCATATCTCTCGTCACGCAATATGCGTCCTCTTGAAGCAATCGTCGCCATGTCTTGTGTGCATTTCTCTCGTATAGAGTGGATTCGTTGGGTAAGCAGACATATGGTGTGGGATTCCTCACTTTCAGGCGGGCATTGGCAATGGTGTAGGATTTCTTGGCATGAGCTCAGTCGTCTATTAACCAGCTTCTCCCACCAATCGTAACAGTTGATGAAGTCGCTTGTGTGGGCTATTTGCTCTTCCAAGCTAAGACTCAAGAGAAAGCAGGCCTCTCTATGGACCCTGTCAGATCGAATAGCAATCACACTCACCGCCTCACTAATTTCGCGAATAATCTCGTCAACGTGCATTGCCTCACGCTGCTCTGGAGTGAGGCGCAAGAGAAGTGGAAGAGGTTCATCATATGCGTCGATGTCGGATGTTCCCAACGCATCCTGCAGGAATGACTTCGTCTTTTTGTTGATTGTGTCCCACCAGCCGCTGAGAAAGTCGCCAACGCCCGCGAGACCTGAGGATAATGGCTGTTGCCTTTCATCGTGGCTTCGCAGCTCCTCATTAGAGCGCTCCTTCCTTGGGGCAACTGCCTGACGCACCGTCCCACGCACATCCTTAATAAGGCTCCACATTGACGTTTTTTGGCCTCGCAGGGCCACGCCCCAAGCAAGCCTAACGGAAACAACAGCAATTAAAGAGGCAAACCGCAAAAATTGCTTTGGCAAATGTGGCACTCCGAAGAACAAATTGCTTTTTACCTTGCACGCAAATTAAATGTGTACCCCCTTCTCGCTGTAACAGAACAAGAACCCAAAAAAAAAAAAAAAAAAAAAAAAAAACGTGTGTACTTCCGGCGTCATTTCATGCTCCCAAAATAATAACAATAATAAACGTGTAAAGGGGGAAAAAAGCCGGAATGTATTCGGGTTTTTATCTCAGTGTTGTTGTTGATGCCTAGGGCGGATACATATTTTCCTTTAAAAAGCCATCTGGCCGGTGAAGAGGATGAATCTTTGTCCCTCCAAGCATATGTGTGTACTTGCCCCACGGGAACGCTCCCGACGGCTGCTGAAGAGTCGTTGGCATGGGAGGGCCGGAGCGTAGATGCGGTAGAGCGTAGTACCGCTCCATCGTGGATGTCCGCAACACGCCATTCTCATGTAACTTTCTTCTAAATCCCTTTTTACGGTTCTGCAAGACGATGTCGTTAGCCAACATCTCCACGTGCTGCAGAAGACCATGAGGCACCGTGCCCATCTCTACTTCTCCCCATTCCTGCAGTCTGGGTAAATTATCGTGTACATCCTGAATAGAAAGTAACCCTGTGCGCTCCTCAATCAACTTCAAATGACGTTCAATATCACTTCTAGACCACACTTTCCCCGTGTACTGGTGGATGAAAGGCGCCATATAATGCAGCGGGAAGTGGCTCGGTGTGTTGTACTCCTGCCCCACTTCCGCATAGTAGTTCCACAACGGCACACCGTCGTTCGATCCATGTGAGTTGTGCGAGAAGGTCCGATTGAACGGCGTCTCCCGGTGATGACGAACAGGATCATCGCTCCACCGCGCCCACGGCCAGTGGCGGTACGCACCCCGGTGACGCATCCGATAGTACCAATCGACTCCCGAGCGAGGGTCCCATGTGTTGCCGTACTCCTCAGGGGGCTTATTCGCCAGTGGCGAGCGTGCGTGGGGGAGTTTGGGCGGCTGGTACCATGAGCGGTGGCGGCGATGTGCGTAGACCATCACGCGGTTTTCGTAGCCCTTCGCTCTGGACCCGAGCGCAAGGAGAGTGAGACGAAGCGCCATGGCACCAGTGCGGGCGCCCTCTGCGCTTTTCTAAAGAAAGCCTCTTCACGCTGAAACGCAACAGGAGAAAATAGAAAAAAAGAAAAAAGTCACGAAAGAAAAAATAAAATAAAATTATTTGCAAACACAAACACGCAAACAACAACAAGCAGAAAAAAAAAAACTACCTCGCAAGCATCCAGCCTCTCCATTGCCACTCCGTCCCACCGCCCCGTGGAGACAACAATTCCATCCCTAAACCCCAAACTTTTTTTCTTCCTTTTATTGTGCGTGCGTGTGCTCCCCCTCCGTTGCTGGGCATTGTTCTTTCCCCCCACGTCTTCGCAAATAAAGTGGCAAAAAAGACGAAAAAATAAATATTTTTTTTTCCACTTATTAAGTTCGTTTTTCCCCATTCTTCGAATAAAAGAGAAGGAGGGTACTTTCGCTGCGCGGTGTCCCGCTCCTCGTCCCCCCCCCTTTTTTTTTCTCTTTTTCTCGGTGAGGCCTCTTTATAACGTCGTGTCCCACATGCTTTCCAGTGAGACCGTAACCTCGTGGCAATCACGCAGAAATATGTAGATATATATAGAAAATACTCCTTAAGTTACAAGGAAAAAAACACGCAGTATCACCGGGCACACATACATGACCATAAATCCGACTGCAAAGTATGAAACGGTGTACCGGTGCGCCTCCCACAGCCACCAGTGACGGTGTGTACGTGGAGACCACAACTGTACAGGGCCGTTTGAGATCATATTCTCTTCGCATGCGTGCTTCATCGATATCTCCAAAATGAACGCTGTCTTTCCCACATATTCCGTTTCGCATCTATTGTCAAAATTTGATTGCTTCCCCTGCCAGTGTGTAGCATCCGCAGTTGGTCCTTCGCTTAGAGGGATGCGATACGCAAGACGCACGCCGTTCGATATTAAATTGATTATTTGCCTCCACAGCCACGGACGATTCGGCGCTGCGCCCCGAGAGACAAAGCTAAAAAAGCCAAAGAGAAGTGGCCTGGCGAGAAATGCGGTTCCCTCCTTCCCAATAGCAACCACGAACAAACAGCACACGTACTGAAACAAAAAAGACCACGAAAAGAGTGTGCCCCGCAAATCTAAAGGTGGCGTTCGGCATGCATACGTCCCGTAGTGTGCGTACATCACCCATCCACCAAAAAGAGCCCCTAGCGTGGCCCCAAGAAACCGCAGGCTGTCCAAGTAACATGGACAGGGTTCGGAGGGAACAGCGTGGGAAACGGCCAACGTGTGCATGACAAAAAAAGCCAGCAGGTAATGCCACACCTCCACTCTAGTCAAAGAGGCAATCGCCAAAATCCAAACCCGCAAAAAAGCCATGTGAGACAAGACAATCAAAAACGCCACGCCAATTCCAGCCACAACATCTGCAGGCCAGTGCATCCCCAGAAACAACCGTGAAAGACTGACATTTAAAGTAAAAAAAATACAAGCCATTTTGCAGGCTACAGTATTGGTGGGAAAAAGAAAAACTAATAAATTGTAAGCACAATACGAGAAGAGGACGCTGTGGGAAGCATGGGTACTCGGGTAGCCGTACTCCCGGGATGCACTCGCTCTTCCACGAAGCTCAACTGGCGGGCACGGTGGCCGTGGACATCCTGCCGCATCCTTTAATGTCCCAGTTATATATTGACCCAGGCACATCAACACGCACATATCAAGTACCTCGTACCACATGCCAAGCCATGCCATCATGGGCAAGAATGCTGTGTAGAATTCCGTCTCCCCCGTGCAGCTCCAGAACTTGAAATAAATTGTCATCCCACGCTGCAAGGAAGGGAAACAGTGTTGCAACCGCAGTAAAATAGATAAATGCTCCTCATTACAGTAGTTCGAGGTGTACCAACTTTTGAAGGGTACAACCTGCTGCCTGTCTTTCGGGGGCGTGTATGAATACACATGCCCCCACGGAGAGGGTGGTGTGAGAAACCCCTCTGTGCGTGACTGAGTGTCGCCATTTCTCTCGTCGGGCATCTCTGCAAAAATGGTGCCCCCTCTCCCGTCCCTTTTTTTTCCCCCCACCCGTACTGTCTTTTCCCTTTCCTCCTCACTGTTTCCTTTTGGCCTCCCCTTTTCCTCCCCGTTCCTTCTACCCCGCTGCAGCAATCAATAAGGAGTGCCTTGCCACCCTGATGGGTCCTCTATTCCTCCTATTCAAGCCCCCACCCTGCGCAGGAAAAGAACAGACACACCTGGGTCGCGTGCCGTGGATAAATCAACCAGAAGAAAGAAAGAAAAAAAAAGACAGTTGAGGGGAGGCTCACAGGCAAACACATCCAAAGAGAAATAAACCCACAATTGCAAACAAAAAAAAAAATAAAAAAATTGAAAAATAAAAAATAAGAAAGAAGTCCCAATGGCTGATTATGCTCAGCTGGCGCAAAAAATAAAAAATAAAAATAAAAAAATTTGCGGCCACGCAAAAAATAAGAACAATCAAAAAAAAAAAAAAAAAAAAAAAAAAAAAAGGTAAGTGTAAAAAAAAAAGTAAAAAAGAAAGAAAAAAGACCAAATGCCACGCATTCAAATACAAATACGTAAATTGTAGGGGTTCATCCATCCCCCTATTTCTGTGGGCGAGGCTCCTTTTGCCAAAATGTTCGTCGAGGAAGGCGTTTCATGTTGAGCACGCCATAAGCCGAAACAACGGCAGCACGACGCATCTCCTCCTGCTGCTCCAAACCTCTTCTGGGAGGAGCTTCCGATAGCGCGGCTGTAGATGACGATGATGATGATGGGGATGAATGATTCTTCTCGATGTGCACCTCCAGCTGAGCATCGTTAAATGTGATAACTTTTCGCCGCGGGCGCTCGGACGGAGAGGAGACAACTTCCACAACAGCACATTCACTAACAATAGCGGTGTTGTTGGTCGGATCGGATGATGCTTCTGACGCTGCATCTTGTCGGAAGCGCACCTGCAAGACATTGCCCGCATCATTGCCCAAATTGGCCTCGTGTGCCACTGCAGTGAAGAGACGCTGCGGCTCTGTAACCGACGTCGCCGCTGCTCATTTGCCG